TCGCATGAAGGGTGCGCAAACTCCTGCTAAGGGTGTTCGGCATCATGTACTTCCTTCCTTGCGTAGGGATGACAGCTGCGTATGACTTAATTCATTTTCTTTGCTTTATTTTCTGGTGCTTCCACTTCCAGAGACAGTTGTAAGCACTGCGCAACTGCCTCGAGGGTGCTTGACCAATTTAACACAACGTGGTGCGATTATCCCCTTTGCGCGGAGTGAGGGTTCTCGACCCCGCACAACACAATCTACTCGACCACCATTATGGTTACCCCAACAAAAAAAAACAGAGGCAAAAAAAAAGCGGTACCCTGGTTGCCGAGCTCAGGAAGTGATCGGATTGTTTTACACGTCGTTGCCAGCGACGAAAACCCAACCCCGATGGTAAACATCGGGGGGGGGGGGTCAACAGCAGTCTCGGCCTCTTCCAGACCCCAAGCGCCGAATATGGCGGTGCAGAAGTACTCGGTACGGTACACGATTGGGGGAATGTATATGGGTCGTGATGGGCGACCGAAGGGAACTGCGTACCCAGGGTCCGCCAAGAAGGATGGATCAACAGGGAATAAAAAATACTCCTACAAGTTGGCAAATGTACGACAGGTAGGGGGTAGATGGTTACCAACTTAGGGGTGGGGGTATGGTATCTTCCGTCCAAAATGGTTCGCAAGCGGCTATTTGTTGGTATCTCCGCTGCCAAGATATATTTGTTTGCGGATGGTCACGAGAGACGACAATCAGCACAGCATCGTCTCTCTCTCTCTCTCCACCAACAAGTATTGAGCTCTTATGCATACGGAGGAGCAGCAGTAGTCGCAAGGATCCACGCTGTACCCGTGCACCTGCGTGGAGGAGTGCTGCACACTTCCAATCTCGGTGAACAGCACACATGCGTTCACATACGCTACCTTAGACCTGCTCACCAGTCTCCCTCTCTTTCTTCTTAACCTCAGCCATCCTTCCGTGTCCTCGCTCTCTCCTTTGTGTATTGGTTGGTCTGTGGTGTCTGTTGCTTTTGGACCCGAGATACTTTTCGGGAGGGGAGATCTGCAGACCCACCCCCTCATCGAAAAACATGCCTCCAGGGAGTCTCTTTTGAAGGAGAGTGACACACATCCGCGGCCTTACCGGCGGGTGAGGAGGACAGGAGGGAGGGGAGAGATCCGTCAAAGGTGAGAAGAGAGAGTTTGGGGTAGCCTGGAAGTTGGTGCTTTCCCTTTGCTCGTTTGTCCCCTCCCTGTGAACATCCTATCCTGCTTGGCCAGGTTTACGTCCTGTGTGTATCTCCACCCCACTTTGCAACCTGCACTTTTTTGGTCTTGTCCCGATGTTTCGTTTTGTTCAAAGTTCACCCTTTGATAGAGGCAAAGGACTGCGGGCTACGGCCGGCCTGCACACGCCATGGGCAAAGGTGAGCTAGGGACACACCCTGTTGCCTCCGAGGCTTTACAGATCTAGCTCTTAGAGTACACGCAGGCGGACTGCGACTGATAGCTTGTCGCGTGTGTGAGAGGGAGCTCTCTTGTTCCCTTAGCCCTCTTGTTTTTCGTATGTCAATTCTTTCATGCAATGCCGCGCGCTCCATTCTTCTCAAAAACGTAGTCATTTCGAAAATAACGCCACCATACTACATGATGCATATTATATGGACGGTAACAGCAACATTTTCCGCCCGCCACCACACCATCTGTGCTTCTTTTATGCGTGCGTGTGGGTGGATGGAACCTTGGGGTGGGGAGGACAGGCGAGAATAAGGCTATCAAGGCGGCGGGCAGGCCACGGGACGATGGGCCTCCTTTGACCTTGAGGGAGATACAGCTAGCACCGGTAATATGGGCCAAGCTTTCGGGATACTCGTGGTGGCCAGCTCGGGTAAGAGAGACGGCAGGGGGGAAAGCTGGGGGGCACTGAAAATGATGCACCACGAACGCGCTCTGATTGGTCAACCGAAGATACGAGACGCCCTATTCACGTAAAAATCAGTCCCACCTTTATTATGGTGTGCTTGCTCCCAGAGGAGAGAAAAACACCAGACGCGTGCACTTCGTATACAGCCGGGTTTGTTCCCCCCCCTGGCCCTATAAGCATAGCAGCAGCAGCTGGTATTTAGGGCGGGAGTGTTTGCAGATCGTCCTCTCCGCTCTAATCGTGACCATGGGGTCGGAGAGCTTCTGCTTCACCTGAAGCACGGGCGGAGATGGGTTTTCGATTATGTTCTTTTCGTGTGGCTCACCTTGATGTATGCATAGCATCACACCCGGCAGCCACCACCAGCCTGTGGTGTTTATGCGGGCCACGCTTTCAACACAACAGCAGCTGTTTGGTAGCGTCTCCGAAGGGGGGGGGGGGGGGGTTGACGATATGAATCAACCTGTTAGCGTAAGAGACGGTCGATAACTGGCGGGGATTTGCTGTGTGCCTACCCTTGCCTCTCAGCAGGTCGAAAAGTGTTTTTCTTGTTTTCTCGGCGAGAGAGCAGTCAATCAAGTCTTTTATAACGAGATGGAGCAAAGCTCTAGTTGCTGCTGCTGTTGTTGTTGTGCGTTCGGGACGCGATATTGATTCCGATTGTACGGCAACAAGCGGGGATAGATGTGCAGTGTTTTTCGCACTCAGGCATTCAGGCGTGGGCTGCTGGCGGGTGGTTGCGTGTGTGTGTGTTCGTGTGCGTTGTCGCACCCGCCGGCGAGGTTTTTTATTTATTTACCCTCCTACACCAGGATGCTGCACACCCGAGCAAAGAAGAGGGTTGCACACACGGCTGTCCCCCTTCCTTATTTTCTATTATCGATGAAGCAATAAAAAGAACCCGTGTGAGTGAAACAGACTGCTGCTATGGTATGCAACTCTCCGGTCTGTTTGTTTGTTCTCGCGACACGGCTTCCGTTTGGCACGCGCGAACGTGTTTTTAAAAGGTTTACAGTAGTTCCCCCCTCTCCTTCTGGGACTCTGCCACGGAGCATGCGAAACATCGTCCAACAGACCCACGACGTACATATATCTACCCGGGCCTTCCCGCCCGGGCGCAAGCGGCCCTTTTTTTCCTCCAGAAAGATTCAGTTTTTTTGTGCTTACACCGAAACTAAGTGTGTATGGACCCTCCTTTTTTTCGAAATATAGTGTAGCGACAATGTAGACGTTGCAGCACACAAATTATTCAGAGAAATGTGGCCGTGTCCTCCTTGCTATTTTTGCCCCCCTGTTCTGCGGCACGATCGATCGGGCCTTGGTTTGTGACGCGTACTATTTTTTGAAGTGCGGTGTGCTACAAGCAGTATATTCACATGACATGCAATCTGCCTGAGAGCAGACGGCAGTAGGACGCCTATCCTGCATCCCATCGATTGATGCATACCCCTCCATCAATCCATTTTTTTTATCAAATGCGCGTTTGTCGTCACCCGCCACCACAGCAATGTGAGCTTCAAGGCAAGATACGCATACAAGTAGTAGGCAAAGAGCTCCAACGAGAAATCAGCAGCAGACTTCGCTTCCAAGTTTTTATCCGCAGCAGTCAACGGTCAAAGCATTCGGACGGTCTTGGCAGCAGCAGTGCTGCGTTGCTGCTGCTGCTACTGCTGCTGCATTTGCCTAGCCTACGTGTTTCGTACAGCAGTACAGCAGTAGTGCTGCCGCGGTCACCAAAGTCGAAGAATTGTTTTTTATGACGACACGGGTTTGCGCATAATCTGGCGTTTTTCCCGGGCACGTCACACCGTCAGTGCGGTATTTCTGGTGATGCGTTGTACTGGCGACGCCGACTTACTTTGTTCAGCCTGCTGCACGCATGCTGCGAGCACGAGGCGAGCATGAGCGCATGTATGTTCATCGGCACTCCGCCGGCGCCGAGCCTCTCGCTCCTGCCCGTGAGAAATGACCTGTTGCAGTGTAGCGATCGTTCGATTGAGTTCGAACACCCGCCAACGAAACAAGGAGCGCTTGTGAGGAAACCTTGAGCACCACACACACACATCGCTGGGTGGGGCGTGTGTTGTATCCTACAGTCTGCTGAATAGCCCTTACACCATCCCTGCTGCTGCTGCTGATGCTGCTGCTACTTCTTCGTTGCTTTTGCTCAAACTTGTTGACCACTCTTGGTTTCACTCCCAGTGCGAAACGAACACCGACACAGCAGCAGCACCGCAATCACACACATGACAGCAGTGTGACAATTACCGCTGTCGCGAAGCTGTCTGTAACGCGTAGTGTAACCTGCTGCCGCCGCCGCCGCCGCTGCTGCTGCTGCTGCTGCTGCTGCTGTTGTGGGTCCACGTGGTCTGTGAACGCTGTTCAGGTGGCCACCATACACGAGGTGAAGGGGATCAAGAGGCCCCAAGGGAAGGAGATGATATGCACCTACTTTCTCGGAGATAACAATATGTGAGGAGTGCAGAGTGCACACCCCCTTGACGCTTCCTTCCTTTGGACCGAGTTAAACAGAGTTATGTTGTAGGGTGTTCCGTGTCCCGCCTTGGTGTTTTTTTTTTTTTTTCTTCTTCATTGTCCTTGACTTTTGGCGGTCTACGTCTGTCGTTGCTGTCGTTGGATGTTTGCCTCCCTGCCTCCCTGGGTCTTGTCGTTGGGGTGCAGTGGCTCGAGCTCAAGAGTCGGGGGCCTTTTTATTTTCCTTCCCCACTTGTGAATTTTGGCTCTCTCGTTGCCCACCATCCTTGCGCCAACCGCCACCCCCTGCGTGCAGAGGGTTCGTGAAGTTGAGCAACGTCCTCCGGTTCACCCGGGAGAACTGCGAGCAGTACGGCTCCCGCATCACCACCAAGTCCTTCAAGGACGGGGTGAGCTTTGATTTACAACCAGCAGCGGTCATTATCTAGGTCTAGTTATCGTCGTGCCGCAATCCCCTGTACTCGAGAGACGCTCCAAAATGCGCGCACCCATCCACTTCCCTGCTGTGCGCGAAGATGAATTTTCTCCGACTCGTTCATGAGATTCAAGGAGTTTTTTTTTTTTTTTTGCAGTGCCGAAGGCATGGCGGCGTAGCACGGTCTTGCGAGTCGCAATGGCGTGAAATTGGTAGAACGTGTTTCTCAACATTTATTTGGCATGCTTGTGTGCCAGGTGGCGGCGGCGATTGCACTGCTGAACGAGAGCGAGACCTGGGACAAGGAGTTCCAAGCTAGAGCGCTGGTGAGGTTTATAGCCTCCCTTATTGTTCCGTTCCGTTTCGTTGTTTTGTGCCCTGTCAGTTTTACCACGCTCTGTCGGACGGTATGCCTAGCAGGGCTCGGCATGATAGGGTACTACGGTTTTGCTCGTATTGCGACAAGTTTGATTGTACGGGGTGATGCTGCCTGAACACACACGTGCGCGCGTGCATGTATGTGCCAGCAGCGGCCGCGGGTGACGGACATCCTACATATCTTGAGGGAAGGACTGCCTTGCCTCTCTCTCTCTGTTCTCTTTCTCTTCTGTATCACTCACACACAAAACACACATGCTCGGACCAAGCGACCCGACTCCACCCATGGCGTTGTCTCATGACACGTTGTGCCATCCTATATCATATCTAGAAATGAACGTGTTGCTTTTGTATCCATCTTCTATCGTCTACAATTCTCTCGCTATTTTCTTTCCAAGGATGCCGCAACAGCGAACGGTAACTCTGGGGCGGACAAGAACCTGGCGGCGGTGGGCGCCGGCGTCTTGCACCCAGTTCCCGGCATTCTGTTCTTGGAGGATGGCGCGTGCGAGGTGTGTGTTCTTGTTATTAGCATCGACCGCGCTAACCGGCTGTCCAATGAAAGTGTACGTGTGTGTGTCTTCAGTTGATATTGCATCGACCGCACTCACGGGCTAACCACTGAAATGACGTCAGTCGTCTCAATGCGGCTGTGTGTGTGGTGTGTGTATCTTTATTATTAGCATCGACCGCGCTGACCGGCTGACCAATGAAAAGACGTCAGTCTTAATGCGGCTGAAAACACACAACACTTTTATCTGCCATGAATTGGGACCCCGTGAGGGGGCAGCATGGGGGAGATGTGTGTGTGCGTGTGTTATTTCATTGGAATCGAGCGTTCTAACTGACTGACCAACGAAACGAAGTCAGTCTCAGTGCGGCTGTGTGTGTGTTTTTTTTTTTTTTTTGCTAAGGATGTGAACGCGCTAACCACCTCATCAATGAGTGTCATCTGTTTCTTCTTGTGGCGGGACGAAAAACGCAAACATGCGCTCTAGTCGGCGCCCCCCCCCCTGGACAAGTGTGTATTGTGTGTTCCCACTAAACCTCCCCTGTCCGCCGCTTGTCCTCTTTGTGTTTTTGTTTTTTTTGCATCGTGTGAATTTTCCGCTTGGTATTGGTGTTAGTGGTCAGTTGTAGTGTGCAAACGCATAAGATCCTGTTAACACCAACAACGAGAAAACAAACCACCAAAAACGGCGTCGCCACGACGAACAGCAGCAGCAGCAGTAGTAACAACATGCTTTCCGCCGACAACAACGGCGGAAACCAACATCGACAACGGCTGCTTTGTGACAGATGTGCGGGGACAACAACGAGGCCAAGGGGGACATCCTCCTCTGCGACTCTTGCGATGCCGAGTACCACCTCTCGTGCTGCACGCCGCCGCTCCAGGTGTGCCCGGAGGGCGAGTGGTTCTGCCTCACGTGCCGCAAGAACCGAGGGGAGCCCGTCACCAAGCTGTTCAACGAGGTGCGGAAGTGCCCAAGATCTTTTTGAGGGGACAGGGTCGCTTTTAGTTGGTGGTTTGCCGGCGGTTGGCGGACGGATGTCTGTTGTCCCGAAGCGCGTCACTTTTTTTGAGATTGGTGTTGGGGGTGTGGGGCAATCCAGGTTTTCCAAGGGGCAGGGGGGGAGGGTATCGGGACCTAGTTTTCCCCCCCCCCCCCCCAAGAATGTTACGCGTTGTGTTGCGGGTATATCGGTTCTCGCGACAACCACAACAAAGCGTGCCCATGCAGTATGAAAGTAACAACTGCTGTGTGGCCTTCCTCTTGTGTGACCCCGGTTGATGCGTCGAACATGTACACCGGCGTCAGAATACATGGGATGAACATACACACGCTTACAGGGTCGTACCAGGTCCCTTGTGTAGACGCTTTTTGCTCGCCCTCTTCGCCCGCCGTTGCGCTGACGCAACGACACGCCCGCCGCGCATCGATGCGGCAGGAGCGAGCAAAGAAGGAGGCCACGATGAAGCAGCACGAGTTGCTCAACAAGCCGCCCCTGCCCAACAAGGCCGGGAAGAAAAAGCGCGACGCCTGCGAGTCCCCGGTGACGACCAAGCCCAACCCGAAGAAGGCCAAGTCGAGCAGCACCAGCAGCCCGTCCTCTGCCGCCGCCGTCGCCGCCGACTTGCCTGCTGCAGGGAGCGCCTCCCCCACTCTGTCCGACGCTGCAAGCGCCGGGTCTCTCATTGATGTTACCGGCGACGGCTCGCCGGCTTCCAACACCAGCCGGAACGGCGTCCACACGGCCTCGACATTCACCGCCGCGGCGGCGGCAGCGGCGGCGGCCGGCGTAGCGGCGGCGGCGGCTGGCGTGGCGGCGGGGTCGGCGGGGGCTTCGCCGCCGCCGTCTGCGACGGCACCGGAAGCGAGCGCGGCTGCCTCTGGTCGCCGCGGCCAAAGCCAGGGCGCTACCGGCGCAGGTACTGGCCGCCGACCGCCAAACCAAACCCGCTGGGCGCACC